TGTGCGTGTGTGCGTGTGCGTGTGATCGTTCGCGCGTACGTGTGTGCGTGTGATCGTTCGCGCGTACGTGTGTGCGTGTGATCGTGCGCGCATGCGTGTGTGCGTGTGATCGTGCGCGCATGCGTGTTTGCCGCACATTAAATTATGCACAGTGTGTAAATCGGAAACATTCTATAATGTAGCGCACAGTCAGATAATGCTCAGCGCGCATGCCCAGTATCTGAGAAAGAACTCGTACTTTGTAGAAATTATACTTTCAAAAGTACAAACCTGATATTCTTGAGCAGTTTGCTGTAAAAATATCCAGCGCAACTGCTCGCCCCAACGCTACGATATCTGCTATTATTTCTAAATTTAATCCGTCGCGGGTTTCCTATACGTCGTTACATATTTTTAACATGTCCTAAGCTTTACATATGCGTGTTGCAGGATTCTCGTGAAATACTACGACTGTCTGAGTTTTATCGGCTACCAAGAGTTTAACATCCCCGTACAGGTGTTGGATTTAGTCTACTCACAGGCGTTGTGCTGGTACGCGTATAGTTTGGATTCGCAGGCAATATTTAATTAATCGAGCATTACTATATTTATTGGTCGGTGGTGGTCTACAGAATGGCATACTTGACTTCGGGCAGAAAGTTCTTGGAATTGACTTCCTCCGTGGCCATGGTTGACACTGGCTGCAGAAATCAGTGAGTCTCGCTAGCGTGAGGCTAGCAGCCTCACCGGCATAACAGCGAAAGGCTTTGCCGGACAAATCAGACTAAGGAACCAAAGCAACGCAGTTGAGGAGACCCTGGGCTACACGGGACGAACGGGGGGAAACCGTATTCATAGCCGTTACTACTATTATACATGCTCCATTAGCACGACGATTACATCGCTAGGCCACAGCGTCATGTGAACTCACTCACGGTCTTGAAAACTACGTGAAGATATGCTTACCTCACGCACCGTTCCACTATGCCTCTAGCAGGAGCTCTATGTGGGTATTTAACCGCGACAATTACCTGCTACTTCGAGTTATGTATGTTTTTTCCAGGTTGGGCAGCTTCTTTGCTCCGCTGTTGGGCGCCGCCATGGTGATCGCTTTCATCGTGCGTTTCTACGTGAAGAAGGTACGAATTAATATATATATAGGCAGATCTAGCGGAGGAAAGGAGACAGGAAAGAGTACAGAGTCGAACATTTAAAGAGAAATGTAAACTGATTCTTCTGCGACAACTCATCAATCTCGTGGTGATTCTCGTGCTCGTCGGCGTAGGTGCCATCATACTGCTCGCCACAGTATACACGCAGGAGGTACGAGATCACACATGCGCCGAATTCCTAGCGAGTACACTATATATAGCGAACATTCCTAGAGAACACACTAGCGAATTCTTAGAGGGAGAGTTAAAATGCCGTCAATCAGCCGTGTATTGACGTGGGAAGAGCGCACCTGCCAGTCACCGTGAGGCGGGAGCGGGTCTGAGGCGAGGGTTTCACAGATGACTAGGCCTACATGATGACTTCAATTTCTGTTAGGGTTAATTACATTTATTACGCCCTTCCTCTAAAATCTAGGAAAGCAACTGCTCTGTTGTCTCCTCCTTCCAGAGGGTACGGCCCTGCGTGCTGTATGATTTTAACAAATACAATAGAATTTCGCCCAAATAATTCATGTTTGCCCCGGTGTTTAATTGGCAGTATTTAGTATTTACTCACAAGACATTCGGAACAAAAATCTTGTAAAAAAACGTGTATGAGTGATGACGTGTCGTGTGCACGATGGCGTACACTGCAGGTTCTCTCGTCCAGCACGTCGCTGAGTACGGTGGAGTCTTTGGCGCTAGAGTTCCTGCCTCCGCTGACGATCACCGTGCTCTACATGTTTGTCTCGGTCGGGTTCACGGCGATCACGAAGTTAGGTCAGCACGAACTCGACACTGAAATCAACGTGATTCTGCTCAGGTAAGATGGCGCCTATATGGTCAAACACATCGTTGCGCATGATTCTGCGCAATATTTTTCACTATTAATTTAATTAATACTTTAATTAAACTACGGTAATAGTGAGTTACGTGTCGCGGGGCAATATTTTATTATGTAATCGTATTTTAAACTTATTTATAACAAATTATAATTATTATTTATTCTTATGCATGTGTGCGTAATCACGACTGAAGTATAATAATCAGAGTGTTATCTTGCACGCAGAATAGTGTTTTTAAGACTGACATCTCTCGCCATGTTGGTCTATGCTGTCATAAGACAAGTAACCCAGTGCGAAAGCAGCGAACTCGGAAGTTGCGGCGAGTGCAATAACCTTCAAGTACGTCTTTAATTTAACCGGGATAAGAAATGTGGAGTTTTAATTACAGATTACTCATATTACAGTTCATGATAACTTGCGTAAACTATGTCTGTGTCTATGAATATGATTGTCCTATTAAACCTCTTAAAAATAGCTTAGAGTTAAGGTCAGGGTCGTGGGTTTAGGTCGGGGTTCAGCTCATAATGTGCTTACATTGTCTCTAGTGCTGGGAGACATATTTCGGACAGCAGATATATAAGCTGGCCATCGTCGACCTTGGCGTCTTGCTGATCGTCACGTTTTTGGTTGAATTTCCGAGAAAGTACGTAAGCGCATCTTAAAACATCGATGATGTGTATGTGTGTGCGTGTGTGTGTGCGTGTGTGTGATAGCTGTGTTGTGGTGTCGTGTGTGCTGTGTGTCGTGTATGTGTGGGCTGTGGGTGTGCGTGCGTGATGCTGCGTGGCGTGCCGTGCGCTGCGTGCGGCGTGAGCTGGTGTGTGGTGTGTGGTGTGTGTGTGTTGTCGTGTGTGTGGTGTGTGTGGTGTGTGTGCTGAGAGTGTGTGTGTGTGTGTGTGTGTGGCTGTGATCGTGCGCGGGATAATTGTGTGGTGTTGCATTCGTCGCGGCTGTGCGTGTGATCGTTCGCGCGTACGTGTGTGCGTGTGATCGTGCGCCGCGTGCGTGTGTGCTGCGTGTGCGGCCCATGTGATTGTTCGCGCGGTTACGTGTTGGTGCGTGTGATCGTTCGCGCGTACGTGTGTGCGTGTGATCGTGCGCGCGTGCGTGTGTGCGTGTGATCGTGCGCGCATGCGTGTTTGCCGCACATTAAATTATGCACAGGTGGCTAAATCGCGAAACATTCTATAATGTAGCGCACAGTCAGATAATGCTCACGCAGCGCATTGCCAGTATCTGAGAAAGAACTCGTTACTTTGTAAAAATTATACTTTCAAAAGTACAAACCTGATATCTTTGGAGAGTTTGCTGTAATAAATATCCAGCGCAACTGCTCGCCCCAACGCCTACGATATCGTATTATTTCTAGATTTAATCCGTCGCGGGTCCCTACGTCGGTACATATTTTTAACATGTCCATAAGCCTTTACATCTGCCGTGTTGCAGGATTCTCGATGAAATACGTACGACTGTCTGAGTGTTATCGGCTACCAAGAGTTTAAACATCCCGTACAGGTGTTGATTTAGTCTATCTCGCAGGCGTTGGTGCTGGTACGCCATATAGTTTGGATTAGCATGGCCCAATATTAATTAATCGAGCATTACTATATTTATTGCTCGGTGGTGGTCTAAGGCATGGCATACTTGACCTTCGGGAAAAGTTCTATGGAATTGACTTCCTCCGTGGCCATGGTGACGCACATGGCCTGCCAGGAGAAATCAGTGCAGTCTCGCTAGCGTGAGCGCCTAGCACCTCACCGCTAACAGCGAAAGCTTGTGCCGACAAATCAGACTTAAGGAACCAAAGGGCCAACGCAGTGAGGAGACCTGGGCTACACGGACGAACGGGGGGAAAACCGTATCATAGCCGTTACTACTAATTTATACATGCTCACATTGCACGACGCATTACAGCGCTAGGCCACAGGTCATGGTGAACTCACCTCCGGTCTTTTTGAAAACTACGTGAAGATTATGCTTTACCTCACAGCCACCGTTCACTATGCCTCTAGCAGGAGCCTCTATGTGGCTATTTAACCGCGACAAATTACCTGCTACTTTCGCAGTTTGTAGTTTTTTCAGGTTGGGCCCAGCATTCTTTTGCCTCCGCTGGCTTGGGGCCGCCATGGTGATCGCTTTCATCCGTGCGTTCTACGTGAAGAAGGTACGAATACACAAGCGCGCGCGCACACACACACACACACACACACGCGCGCGCGCGCGCACGCACGCACGCACGCACGCACGCACACACACACACACACACACACACACACACACACGCACACGTATATATGCGTGTGTGTGTTCGTGTTCGTGTGCGTGTGCGAGTAAGTGTTCGTATGCGAGCGGGGGTGCGTACGCGTGCGTGAGCGTGTGCTGGTGTGGAACGTTTGCGCGCGCACGAGCGTCTCCCTGTGCGTGCGCGTGCGTGTGTGCGTGTGTGTTTTATGGCTCAGTTCTGTCTACAGAAAAAGCTTAGGGTTTTGGAATATATGGCCAGTGGGAGTATAGCGTTAGAAACTATATCCAGTCAAGCCGGCACATGTGCATCTCTGCCTCGTCTCTGCTGCAGTTGTCATTGATGGTAAACTACCAACCGTCGCGGAGGCTGGGGAAGGTGTCGCGTTCCAACGCGTTCTTCCTCGTTGTGTTGCTCATCGCCTTCTTCCTCTGCCTCGTCCCGATCGGCTGGTCCATGTTTAAGTAAGTACGCGCATCGATGTACAGGTGACCGTTCTATGGAGGTGACTGACCGCCTTCGCTGGTGTGGCTGTATTTATCATAGATTTCACTCTGGGTTTATGAAGACGAGCTGATCATTCCTGTTTCAACTTGTGTGTGTGTCCTCTGTCTGTCTCTCCCCCCTCTTTCTCTCTCTTTGTCTCTACATGTCTCTCTCCTTCTCTCACATGTCTCTCTCTGTCTGTCTGTCTGCCTGCCTTTCTATCTGTATGTCTATAATTCTATCTGTCCAGCTGTCTCTTATCTATCTGTCCGTCATTGCCTCATCGTATCTGTCTATCTGTCTTATCTACTCTGTCCATCTGGTGTCATCTAATCTGCTCCATCTGTCTCATCTATATCTGTCCATTTAGTCTCATCTATCTGTCCATCTGGTTCTCATCTTTTTATATCTGTCATCTGTCTCATCTATTGTCTATCTGCTCCCATCTTCTGCTCCATTTTCGGCATCTGCCTGCTCCGTCAACGCCAATCTTTTTACTTCCGTAGCATTTAGGATAACTCCGAGTTAGCGCTGCGGGCCGTTCCGTGGCCAGCGGCGCCCGATGTACGATGTCGTCATCGCACACATCGGCGACCTGCCGGATTTCCCGCGTGACGTCTTCTGGTTTGTCGCGTCGACGATCGCTCTCACCTCACTCGTCGGCTTCTACTCATGATAAGCACGATGTATGATGCACACATACGGACACAAATACACACACACACACACACACACAACAGCACACACACATTTTATATTTAGTAACTATATATTATCATAGTTATTTTTTTTAGTAATATATATATTTGTGCATAATATGTATAAATATTACGAAATTGACCACGTCACGCAAATTTCTATGCCGTGTTATTTGTAAAATCTTCTGTTTGCATTTTTTTTTACATGAAAAGTAATGTACTAACGCACTAAATGTTATCTCAATTCTTACCTGATAAAGATTGTTTTTCAACTAGTTGACTATATGATCACGACTTAATATAAATGGCCTTGATATGGGCTATTATGCGTCACGATGTGTTTATTCACATCGAAACGGAATTAGCAAAATAGCAAGTAAATGCAAAAATTTAACCCTGAAACAGTGAACAGAATCACCTTACGCTTTGTGCAAAACAGTGGACTATATTTGTAACATTTTACTATTTACGTAACGTAATCACTTTACATAATGGTTCGTGCTTTGGCTTCTCGCTGCCAGTCTCACGACACACTTCTACAGAACGAAATCGAGGGCGTACCAGATCATCATAGAAGAAGATGCGAGATGACATCAGACGAATGAAGAGCGACAGAGCCATGGTGACAGCGATCGTGACAGACGTGGCGTGACATCATCACGCCCTAGTCTTTATACACCATCACAACATACTTATGCCTACAATGAGACCATTGCACGACAAGCACGAGAGGAGAAGATCGCGCGCGCGGCAAGAGAGAGAGAGAGCACCGAGAGAAGAGAAACTGAGGAGAGAGAGAGAGAGAGAGGCAGAGAGAACGGCAGAGAGAGAGGAGATGGAGGGAGAGTAACGCGAGTGCAGGGACGCGGAGAGCGTCAGCTGAGTCGCAGTGAGTGAGTGAGTGAGTGAGTGAGTGAGTGAGTGAGTGAGTGAGTGAGTGAGTGAGTGAGTGAGTGAGTGACTAAGCGCACAAATAGCGAGAAAGTGAAGTGAGTGAGTGAGTGAGTGAGTGACTAAGCGCACAAATAGCGAGAAAGTGAAGTAATTGTGAAATTAAAACTAACTAACCATATCAGCCGGATTGTGTTTTTGTTTTGCAGTGGGGTCAGGAGAACCACGCCTCTGCCAATGCACAAGCAATCGATGCAAATCTCGACTCGGTGTTCAGCGATATTTTCTGACAGCCAAGCGGCACATAGAGGGACACAGCCTAAAGAAAAAAGGGTAGAGGGCGAGAAAGGGGTAACGAGAGAGCCATAGAGAGAGAGAGAGAGAGAGAGAGAGAGAGAGAGAGAGAGAGGAAGAGGGAGTAATACACAGAGGGGGAGCGAGAATGGAACGTAGCCTACGATTTTAACGTGCCAGATGAGGATATTTTTTCGCACAACACAGGACACATTGATAGGGTGCTGCTTCTGCAGCTGCTGATGATGATGATTATAATGATGATGATGCTAACTACGACGATGACGACGGTGCTGTTGCTGCTACTGATGATAGTGATCGTGATGAGAAGGAGGAGGATGAGGAGGAGGAAGAGAAGAATGTGGAGGAAGTTGATAACAAGTTAGCGGAGGCCGAGAACGCGGACAGATGATGACATGTGATAAGAACAGGAAGTAGGACGAGGAGGAAGCGCACGGAGCAGGACAGCAAGAAATGGAGGATTGCTTGGCCGACAACACGGCGGAGTTAGCTGCACAAATCAAGTTATCACGATCACTGCCCATTCAGTGTGACGCGGCACGCCCTTGTCGCTTGCGCTTGCTAGACCTAGAATTTTATGAACGTTCGGTGGTTATACGTATTCGTTAAATGGGATATACCAAAGTGATGTGATATTGACGCATGTAAATATACGCAACGGCGCGATGGCAGGTGCGGAAATTGGTTAAATTTTGTGTAAATTTATGATACTGGTTAAATCTACAAACTTTAGAAACAGACACACGCGCACGCACGCACGCACGCGCGCACGCCCGCACGCACGTACCAAGCCGCACACACACCACACGCACACACACGCACGCGCGCACATACACACGCACGTATCAACAAACACATGCGTGAGCAGACACTTACACGCACGCAGGCACGCGCGCGCACACATATGCGCTTTGAAATCAATACTTCAAACAAGAACAAGAGAATTACAATATTTCTTTTGTACATTCCCCTATTCTTACGAGCTCCAGTACTTTCGGAACTAGTGGAACTAATTATAAATGCGCAAGTGTCAGCAACTGTTTGATCATATTTTACTACATTCCCCACCTTCTTGTGACTGGCATGAAAGCCAATTTAAAAGATAGATCATATTCTGTTAAAAAGCACTAAAAAATGATCGCGTGTTGTGGTTTGTTGTTGCGATTGGTAGATTATTCTTGCTTCTTTACGGTAACCGGAGGACCGAAGTATGTATGGTAAGCATTTTTATCAAAATGTGTTATACTAATATTATCTAGTTTATTATACTTGACGACTCATGTTTACCACACACATACACACACACACACACACACACACACACACACACACACACACACACACACACTCATCTATCTGTTCATTTTCGCATCTGCCTGTCCGTCAACGCAATGCTTTTACTTCCGTGCATTTAGGATAACGCCGAGTTTAGGCTGCGGGCCGTTCCGTGGCAGCGGCGCGATGTACGATGTCGTCATCGCACACATCGGCGACCTGCCGGATTTCCCGCGTGACGTCTTCTGGTTTGTCGCGTCGACGATCGCTCTCACCTCACTCGTCGTTCTACTCATGTAAGCACGATGTATGCATGCACACATACGGACACAAATACACACACACACACACACACACACACATTTTATATTAGTTAACTTATATTATCATAGTATTATATAATATAATATATTTGTGCATAATATGTATAAATATTACGAAATTGACCACGTCACGAAATTTCTATGGTGTATATTTGTAAAATCTTTGTTGCATTTTTTTTTACATGAAAAGTAAGTACTAACGGCACTAAATGTATCCTCAAATTATTACCTGATAAGATTGTTTTTCAACTAGTTGATATATTGATCACGACATAATATAAATGCTTGCTATGGGCTATGTATGCGTCACGAGTGTTTATTCACATCGAACGGAATTGCAAAATAGGAAGTATAATGCAAAAATTTAACCATAAACAGTGAACAGAATCACTTACGCTTTGTGAAAAAGCGACAGGAAGTATAATGCAGCAATTTAACCATAAAAAGTTAACAGAATCACTTACGCTTTGTGAAAAAGTGGACATAATTTTTGTTAACATTTTACTATTTACGGTGACGTAATCACTTTAACTAATGGTCGTGTTTGGCTTTTCGTTGCAGTCTCACGACACACTTCTACAGAACGAAATCGAGCGCGTACCAGATCATCATAGAGAAGATGCGAGATGACATCACGACGATGAAGAGCGACAGAGCCATGGTGACAGAGATCGTGCAGGTGGGCGTGACATATACGCCCTAGTTATACACATCACAACATATTATGCTACAAATGAGACATGTACGACAGCACGACGTCTGTCGTTTTGTTTGTGACAGACAATGCACCGGAAGAAAAGAGCGTGGCAGATAGATAGAGACACTGAGAGAGAGAGAGAGAGTGTGTGTGTGTGTTTGTGTGTTGTGTGTGTGCGTGTGAGGACCTGTGTGTGTGTGTGTGTGTGTGTCGCCTGTGTGTAATGTGTGTGGTAACATGAGTCGGTCCAGTTAATAAACTAGATAATATTAGTATAACACACTTTTGATAAAATGCTTACATGCATTGACTTCGGTCCTCGCCGCTAAAGAGCAAGATAATCTACCAATGCTAACAACAAACCACACACGCGATCATTTTCTTAGTGCTTTTTAACAAGAATATGATCTATTTTTTAATTGGCTTTTCATGCCAGTCACAATGAAGGTGGAGGGGAATGTATTTAAATATGATCAACAGTGTGACACTTGCGTATTTAATATATTAGTCTACCACTAGTTCCCCGAAAAGTACGGAGGCTCGTAAAGAATAGGTGGAATGTACAAAAGAAATTTGTAATTCTATTGTTCTTGTTGAATGTATTTGAAAATTTCAAAGCCGTATAAATGTGAAGCGCGCGCGTGCCCTGGTGCGTGTAAGGTCTGCTCACCGGCAATTCTTTTGGCAAGAAGACCTAT